TTTTACTTATTTAGTAATCTATTTAGATTGACTATATGCTATAACAAACTAATATTAAACAAAAAAAAAAAACAAACTAAACTAATTGTTTTCCACACCACATTTCTTAGTAAATTTTAAAAATAATTCATTATTCAGAGGTTTTGTAAAACCATCAGCTGGTTGCTCATTTGAATTTATGTAACTAACACTTATTTTATTATCTTTAATTAGATCTTTAATAAAATGAAAGCGAATATCTATATGTTTTTAAAACGTTTAATAGACTCGGTTGCTGCAGTTAAGATTGCTGACTGATTATCGCAAGAAATATTTACTGGGCAAATATTCTGAAAACCAAAGTCATTTAACAAATTTATTATCCAACAAGCTTCACTGGCAGCCATGCTCATAGCAACATACTCTGACTCAGTTGATGACAGGCTCACTGAGGCTTGTTTTCTGGAAGTCCATAATATCAGTCAATTTGAAAATTTAAACATATACCCAGATGTGGATTTTCTGTCCCTTAAATCTCCACCCCAGTTCAGCATCACAAAACCCTTCTAAATTGCCATCTGTACATTTATAAACTAATTTGTAATTTATTGTATGTTTTTTACATAGCGTAACACTCTTTTTAAAGCAGTAAGTAAAACATTATTTGCACAATTTTTGATACCTGCTCAACATTGAGACTGCAAAACACAAATCTGGCCTTGTACCCTGTACAGCATACATCAAACTTCCAATTATTTGCCTACACAATTTTACAATGTTTCTATCTGCATGTTGATTTAATAAGCTTTCAGAGTTAAAATTACTATCCATTGGGTGTGGTCTTAGGTTTACAATTTTCCATTTGAAATTTTTTAAGAACCATTTTCTAAATAACTTTGTTGACTAAGTTCAGTAACACCAGACTTTAAGTTTTGGTTCACATTAATACCTAAAAAATTTTGATATTAACCCTAAGTCTTTCATTTTAAATTCCCTAAACAAAACTGTTTTAAGTTGATTAATTTCAGATTTATTTGTTCCAAATATTAATAGATCATCGACATATAATAACAAAAATATTTTACCTTTACCATTACATTTTTTATACAAGCAAGGGTCACAGCTAGATCTATCGAAACCCTCTTTACTCATTACATCATTAAACTTATTATTCCAACATTTAGGAGACATTTTTTAACCCATACAGTGATTTATTGAGTTTAACTATATTATTATTATTAGAATAAGCCCCATCTGGCAACTGAATATATACATCTTCTTTAATTTCTCCATACAGAAAAGCCCCGGTGACATCCATTTGATGAATTTGTAAGTTTAATTTTGTAGCAATAACCACAAAAATTCTAAATGTTGCCAGCTTTGCTACTGGGGCATAAATATCTTGATAAGTGAATAAATCATTTTGCTCGAAACCCCTTGCTACTAACCTAGCCTTATATTGATTTGAACTTTTAATTTTAAATACCCATTTGCTACTTACAATTTTACTTGAATCAACAGGTACATCACACACATGCCATACATTATTTTCACTCAGTGTTTGTAACTCTCTATCTATGGCCTCTCTCCACTTGGAAGCATCACTTCTATTCATAGCGTCCTTGTATGTCACAGGCTCAGAATCACCATGCACAAAATTACATTTATAAAATGATGTTTGTTTCCTTTTTCTTAAAGGTCTCTCAAGTTTTTTAAGCTTGTGTATTGTCATCGCTAGATAACTTGAATCATTCGTCCATGGTTCATATTCACTTTCCGATTGTGTTTTATATGACAAATCTTCATTGCTTTCTTTATTAGGGGGGCCTCTTGTAGTGTTTTATATGACAAATCCTCAATGTCCTCTGAATTATTTTCTTCATTTACAGTTTCAGCCTCCTGTGATAGTTGGTCTTCTAATGGCATTATTTTAATTGATTCCTGAACTGTATTTATTTCATTTTCTAAGAAAACTATATCTCTCTTCATTTCTATGGTATTTTTCTGTGGAAAATATATCCTGTAACCTTTTATATCTTCACTGTATCCCACCATCAATCCCTTTTCTCCTTTTCTTGTCCCACTTTCTTCTTCTTTCTTTTGGGATGTGCGCATACACTGAATCACCAAACACCTTCAATATACTAATATCAAATGTCTTGTTTGTCCAAACTTCAAAAGGTGATTTTCCATCCTCCTTACTCTTTCCAGTCCTATTAAGCACAAAAAACTGCTGTATGTACAGCCTCTGCCCACAACTTTTTGGGTAAATTTTTCGCATACATCATTGTCCTGGCAGCTTCAACCAATGTCCTGTTCTCCCTTTCTGCCTTTCCATTTTGCTCGGTGTGTATGGTACAGTCAGTTGATGTGTTATACCACGACTTGAGACACTTCTTTTACTCCTTATTTGTGAATTCCAAACCATTGTCGCTTCTAAATATCTTAACCTTATTACCCGTCATATTTTCAGCCTTATTAGAAAATCTTCAATACAGCTCTTTATTTCGGTGTTATTTTTGACAAAATAAACAAATCTGAAGTTTGAGAAGTCATCTTTCATTAAAACAAAATACTTCGATCCGCCTAGCGAGGCTTCTTCCATCGGGCCACACGTATCAGCGTGTATCAATTCACATGTCTTTGTGCTAATGTAATCACTTCTTGAAAACGGTAATCGGTGAATTTTTCCTTGTAAACAATTTCACATTTGGGAATTGATTTTTGTTTAATGTCGATGTTGTTTTTCTGCAACACTTTCTTGACGTATTCAAAATTTTGATGTGCTAATTTTTCGTGCCACATATTTAAATCATTCAGCTCTGATTTAACAAACGTTTGCCGTATTACATTTTAAAGCGTAAATTCAATGTAATAACCATTTCCAATTCGATTTGGCAATCGCATACACGTCGCCGTGTTTGTAAAATTTGCAAAAGTTTTCATCTGTCATCATGACATATCCTTTATCGGTAGCTCGATTTACAGAAAACAAATTAATTTTTAAGTCAGGAACAAATAAAACGTTATCTATGGTTGTATCGATCCATTCATTTCCGTTTTGCACCTGCACTGCCATCTGTCCGCATCCTAACACATTAATTGCCACGCCGTTACCTACTGTCACCATCTTTTGCGAATGATTTGCAAAATGCGTAAATAATGAACGATCACAGCACATATGTTCATCTGCACCAGAGTCTACAAGCCACTTAGATTCTTGATATTGTCCATACACTGTATTAGACACCACAAACGCATTAATCTTTTTTATTATTATTACGTTTATTATTGTTCTTATTTTTCTTGAACCAACACTGTGTTTGAAATGACCAACTTTACCACAGTAAAAACATTTGTTATTTTCATTCTCTTCGCAGTTTTTTTTAACACTTTTACACTCGCTCTGGAAATGTCCTATTTTCCCGCACTTGAAACAGCTTCCAGACTTTTTATTCTTCACTACAAAGGCAGACGATGATGAACTTTGCTGGGGTTCTTCATTTTTTGCCCTTTAACCTTTCTTCCTCCATTAGCAACCTCGCCACTATGTTATCCAAGGTTTGCTTATTATCAGGAGCTGATTCCCATGCTGAGATAAAATGTTTGTATTCGTCAGCAGCGACATAAGTATTTTCGTAATTATAAATTTTTCAGAAATTTCTTCACCCATCTGTTTAAGCTGACTCTGTATTTCTTGAATTTTTTGACAAAATACAGACATATCGGTACCTTTTTCGTACTTATATTGAAAGAATTTTTGTTGTACAATGTGAATGCTCGTTTCTGTTTTCTGTTCATACACACTCTGTAGCTTCCTCCACATCTCCGCTGATGTCGAACACGAAATGATATGTAGTATTACATCTTCAGTCATCCTAGTAACTATTAAAGTCTGCGCCTTAGCATCCTTGTTTTCCCAAGCTATTTTCTCACTGGCTCCTTCAGGTTTTCATACAACGACCTTCTACTATATCAGCCAACCTTGTCCGCGTAACAGTAATCTCATTTGAAATTTCCATATATTCCAGTTCTTGGAACCTTCCAGTTTAAACACGTTCACGTTTTTGATTGATTTCCATCGTTATTTGTTCCGCCTTCCTGCACAATATGGCGACTTCCTAACCTCAATTTTCCGGTTAGTCTGAGTGCAGTAATTCAACCACTGCTTTTATTTAATTCACAGAGGTATATGTGTCTGGGCCCATAACCTGATGTGACTAAATAAAAAACATGTATTTTACAACTCAAAACGTTATATATTTCCTGAATAAACTTAGTTTCTACTACATTGAGTATACACATCAAGACAAGTAAAAAGACAAGTGAGTGTGAGAGAAAAAAAAAAAAAAGAAACAGGGTTACCAGCTAATTAATGTAATTACATTGCCATCTTTTAACATTAATAAGGTTCGAAAAAAACTTTTTTATGTGAACGTATACACGAACTATTATAACGAAAATAAAATGATTTTTATATAAAAAAAAGGCAAAATGAGTCACTAATCCTGACTAAACTATAATCAGTCACATATTGCATTACCAATTACTAATAATTGACGTAATTCTATATTAGCATTTGTTAATTTCTATAATTAAAAAAAAATATGTTTTTAAAATACACAAAATAAAGAAACTCGTTTAAAAGTCTTCAAAAATACATATTGTCAAAGAAAAAAGCCCTAAGTGGTACATATTTTCTTAGCAATAAATTATGTATTTGGGGGCCTTAGGATTAATATATTATGGAAACGTTGCAAAATTGGTTAAAATGAAGTATAAAATTACTTAAATCATTTTTCGTTCCGTCGGTCATTACATTCTCGGTTTATAATCTTGTCAATCTGGTCTACGCTGAAAACTAGTTTATTACGGACAGGTGTTATTAGATAAATATATACTAAAAAAATGTAATGTGACAACCAAGTGCTTTGAATTCTCTTTGAGCATTATATACGATGCCCAACTTTACCTATTTAAGAATCTATTTTAATACAAATGAATAAAACAAAGAACCTTACCAAGGTTAGCGGGCGTACGACGTCGTCGGGCCGATGCTTTCTTGACGGCTATAGTAACCAAAGAGTCCATCTCGCTTCCAGAATCCCATCTTGGTCTGTGTGGCACAGGTTTGGCTATAACGCGTACGTCATCTTCGGTGTCTCTATCGCTACTCGTTGGAGGCAAATTCGATTCATCACTCTCAGGAGGCCCGAGCTCACCTTTCATCCTAAACACCTCATCTACAGAAACATCTTCAAAATCGGCACACGAAATTGGGTAGGTCAAAGTCCTTTGTATATTACTTTTCTTCTGTTTCACTTTCACTGACCCCTCGGATAATGATCTTTTACCGTTCAATTTGTTCTCACTTTTCGAGTCCCCACGAACACATTTTAAATCTGATGGCGATAATGATTTTTTTCTAGAATTTCTTCTTTTCGTACTCCGCTTTGGTCTGCTTGAATCTCTTGGGGCCTGCATTGTATCATTGGGGCCACCTGGAAATATAAGTATTATATTAAATAAGATATAGGTACATATATTTAAAAGAAATGTTAGTGTTTATCTATGTATATGATAAAATGTTCATTTATTATATTATCATAATTTATCTTTAATATTAATGAAAAGAACAGTAATACCCTTTTTAAACGTGGGATTGCCTGTCTACCTATCCTTGGCAGATTTTCAATACCCATACTATCCATACTTCCATACTTTAATATTATAAATGTGAAAGTGTGTTTGTTTGTTTGTTTGTTTGTTTGTTTGTTTGTTTGTTTGTTTGTTTGTTTGTTTGTTTGTTTGTTTGTCCTTCTTTCACGTCAAAACGGAGTGACCGAGTGGCGTGGTTTTTTCTGTGAAGATACTTGAAGGGCTGGGGGGTGACATAGGCTACTTTTTACCGCGGGAGATTACCTAATTCCCACAGAAAAACACGTTATAATATAATTCAAAAAATATTTATGATCAGAATTACTTGAAACTTGGTATTAATGCTCTTTAATAAATTTAAATAATTCATTCTATAAGGGGGTAAAACCCCTTTTAGAGATTTGGTTGTGGTTTTAGCGCTAGCGAAGCCGCGGGTTCTACTAGTTAATATTAATCCCTCCACGACCGCGGACACGCCGGCGTGTCAGTTAACAATAGATTTCTTAGAATTAAATTAATTTCTTAGAAATTTACCTGGAGGTGTTATAAATGTGAAAGTGTGTTTGTTTGTTTGTTTGTCTTTCTTTCACGCCAAAATGAAGTGACGGATCGGCGTGATTTTTGGTGTGGAGATAGTTAAAGAGCTGGAGATTGACATAGGCTACTTTTTAGGAGGTTATCTCACGTTACGAAGGAAGTCACATTATAATACAATCCAAAATAAATATTTATGATCAGAATTACTTGAGACTTGGTACCAATACTCTTCAATACAATTAAATAAATACATGTTTTAGCATTTTTCGAAATTCATCCTATAAGGGGGTAAAATAGGGGATAAAAGTTTATATGAAACCTACTTTTGTATAAAGATTTTTTGTAGTTTAAACGTGAGCAAAGCCGTGGGTTTTGTTAGTATATCTATTATATACATATTATATAATATTATTTTGTGTTATTACTTATTTCTAATTGTGTTATAGTTATAATTTCATGTAAGTAGATATATTATGACAATAAATACTACATACATGCTACATTTTTGGAGTTTTTTTAACCGTCATTAAAGTTAAATTTATTTTCCTGTGAAAGGTTAGATGTACGCGACACAGGGTATCCTAGTGCGTGCGTCTCTCAGCACTCCATTGCCCATGTTTTGTTAAACAATAATTGTTATTAGATTAAGGAGTATATTTGTATCCATTTTTGGTATTACGAATTAAATGAAATAAAATATAAAAAATAAATTTAATCGGTTGAGTACATTTATGATTATGTTACAGGATTTCCTGGCCCCACGGTCTCATATAAGAGAGAGTCGTTAAGGTTTGTGCACAAAGTCCCAAGTAGGTACAGCCAGTTACCAATTATTATGATATATTAAATTACTTATTACTTTTAATATAAATTAAAACTAGAATTTTAATTATACTCATGCAGTGTACTCTACTTTTATTTAACGTATAGTTGTTAATCGTTATATATTTTTAAAATCGCAATTCAAAATGTTTTGTGCACAATTCTATTAAGAATGTTTATTTATTTAATATTTCGTTCAAGTGATACAAACAAGTTTATAATTTTTTATTGATGCACATAATTCGTTCCGGATTACTTGTTTCTCTGACCTTTGCGAAAGAGCTCCCCTGGCATTGTGTACACTCACATAATACATTATCAAATCATAATTACCACGATACATTCACTGTCTTTGCAAAAACTAAATTTGATACTACGAGAAAACAACGAAAATAAGTACCTTTCTTTGTGTATAATAACCGCAAACCGAAGAAATTTAATATTATATACACTGCATCCTATCACTTTAATTTCACTAAACCAATATTCGTCACCAGGACTCTATTTGTGAACCATCGTTTATAGCTAAACTAGTTTTTAAATATTAACATAATAAGTAGTTAGCGTCGTAGAACTTGAAATTTTTTAAATTACTTAGTTTAAATTAAAATATAACCATAGATTTACACGTCAAAGGCCGCGATATGCTCTTTAGCGATACGACGCGTCTACAGCGAACTGTTCTGTACATTCAACTGGCTGTATAAACAGCTTACAATATACACGACGTAACAACTAACACCATAAACTGATTGTACTTCAAAAACAAGGTATCGACAGTAAAATGAATACCTAGGCATTGCAAGTATTTATTATAATTTCGTTTCAATTTTATAATCTTTTATAACAAATAGATGCGCGACGAAAATATTAAAACAAACAATGTGACGTATATTTTCATTGAAAAAGTGATAAGATAAAAAGATAAACTTTATACAACATTTCATTGCCGATCGTTTCCCAAGTTCCCTTATTTTAAATATGATATTTTCCCATTTCATTATTATATTATGTCCTCATAAAATATCTTTACTTTTAGTAAGATATTTTATGAGGACTGTAATTTATAAAGTAACGAAGGCATCGAAATGAATATATCTATTAATATAGTTCTATTAAATAAGTAAGTATAAGGAGATATGTGCTATTCCCGATCAAAATCTATCTGTGAACCTAATTTCATCCAAATCCGTCTTGGAGTTGCAGCGTGACAAAAAATCAATAAACATACACACAGACACACACACAAACTTTTGAACATATAACAGTAGTGTGATAGTCTTTTCTTTTTGGAATTAATACTATTTTTATTCGTTATATTATGTTAATATATATAATATATCAAATTCAAAAAAAAATTGCTGTACTTAAAATTTCAGTATCAGTTTTTGTAACAACATGGTTTTTATCATTGTCTATTGACATACTTCTTTCATCTTTGTAGCGCGAATGTGAAGTGTTTTAAACAATCTAATGGATATTCGCATTTAGAAACCAATTAACGGAACCATGTTAACCTGAATCGACCGGAGAGCATCTGTTAACCTGAATTAGTCTTGCAACATATACATACATGTATGTATATCTAGCAGCTTTATAGTATACGCGTAAGTCGTATGTATATCTACATAATATGATATGCACAAAGTATGAATGAGACTAACAGGTCTGCTTCTACAGATTCATAAATCTAAACCTAAACAATAATTTTGTGCCATTATTTATTCCCTAAGTCAATATTTTGTATATATAAGTTACTAGCATTTCCCGCGGCTCCGCCTGCGTTCAGATGACCAAAACCAAACTCTTAGGTTTTACATATTAGTATACTCTTACAATGCAGTTTTTGTATTTTTTCTCACAAATGATATGGATATTTTCCCGCGGTAAAAAGTATCCTATATGTTGACCAGGATAACCAGCAATCATCGTACCAAACTTCATCAAAATCCCTCCAGTGGTTTTCCGTGATGCGGTAACAGACAGACAGACAAAAATTCTAAAAACTATAGATTCGGTCTCTGTATCGATAATATATCTATTTCAATAAGATTTCCCAAAAAATATTTAATGTACAGATTCGGCTTAGTTACAATTTTATTATATGTACATGTAGATAAAAGGAAGTTTATAAATAGTAATTCCAAATAATTTTATTTAAATACATTATATATTTTGATGATCACAAAACATGTCTATATAAAATCTTTACAATCTAACTGTACTATAATTTTACAACCGTTATAGACCATATTAACTACCTACATATACATATATTATTATATGACAAGTTCAAGTTCCCATAAAAATGAAATGCAGTTGCTATTTTCCCATGCCCTCACACAATGCACTCAAAGGCTCTTTGTAAATTTCTTGGATGACCTGTAACGTCCATTACTATAATTTATTAATAGAAATTAACATTTTAATGAATTATTTTATTTGTAATTATGTATAATTAATAATATTAGAAATTTAATACCAATTATAATTTACTTAATCTCTTATTTAATTAACCCATGATTAATTGAATAATAGTCTAAATAGTGTGCAAAGTTCTATTATTCTCAAACACTAGGTTAAATTACGTACCTATGTACATATTATATCGCAGTGATTGAAGTATCTACAATGCAATATGTAGTTAAGGTGTACATTACTAGCTGTTTATACAATAATTGTTGCAAGCATCATACTAATTAATTAAATATACACATAAATACCAGCACGTGCTATTGTCTGTCTATAAATTATCATTAATTTGCACTATTTTTAATATTATTCCAAGTATTTAGACCTAATCTGGACGTGACATTGCAACTATTATTATTATTATTTTTATTGTGAATTATTAGTATTATTAATAATGTATAAAATATCTTTATTTATATTGTGTGTGACATTTAATTTCGAAATTTATAATCATAATTGTTTTTTTTTTCTTTTTAATAATTTAATTTTATAGTATAATCTACATGATCACTTAAAACGTTAATTAATAATATAATTATCATGCTGTATTTACCTATAATTATAAGTGCTATTAACATGTGTGTATCTTTTATCCTACTATAGACTAAGAGATGCATTTTTGTCACTGTATTTATATTCTGATACTGAATAAAGATATCATATAATTAAAATTAGGTAATCACTAATCAGGACCGATTTTGTTGCTTTTCTTAGCTTTTAAAGGAAACGTTTTAATAAAATAAGATAATATGAGTAACAGTATTTTGTTATTACATATTATATTACATATGTATATTACAAAAGTTATAAAAGAACTAGCATTGCCCGCGGCTCAGATAATCAAAAACCAAATTGTTAGGTTTTCCATATTAGTATTATATTCTTTATTGCACTTAAAATATGATACAGAAAAAAATAACAAAGCAAACATAGTGCACAAAGGTAGACTTATCTCTATAAGAGATCTCTTCCAGTCAACCCCTGGTTGTGGAAGATGTCAGCGGCAATATTATAGAGTAAAAAAATATACTAAATATACACTAGAAATAAAGGTAATAATAATCACATATACATACATACATACATATATGCATATATTATTTATAAAAATATATAATACTATACTTATATAATACCTAATGTAAAGACTACTTATACATACATACATATATACATATACATACTTCATATATAAAATATGAAAATAAAGAAAGGTACTGATTGATACTGTCTACATTTGTGATAGTAAATAATTTTTTAATTTACATTTAAAGACATGAATAGATGGGCTCTCATGGATGGTTTTGGGCAGTTGGTTCCATAGTACTGCGGCCTGGACAGAAAAAGAATTTTGTTGGATTTTAGTATTGCTCCTAGGAATGTCGAGCATAGAAGTACTGCAAAATCTTCTGGAACGTGTAGGGATTGGTAGAAAGTTAAAACGGGAACGAAGGTAAAGAGGGAAATTTTGATTTTTAAGGATATTATAAAGGTAGGTTAGTATACTCTTACATTGCAGTTTTTGTGTTTTTCCTTAGAAATGGGACATATTCCCGAGGTAAAAACTATCCTATATGTTGACTCTGATAACCAGCTACCATCATACCAAATTTCATCAAAATCCCTCCAGTGGTTTTTCTGTGATGCGGTAAGAGACAGACAGACAGACAGACCAAAATTCTAAAAACTATTGATTCGGCCTCTGTATCGAAAATAATATATGTTTTAGTAAGATTTTCCGAAACATATTTAATGTACCGATTCGGCTTAGTTACAACTTTATTATATGTATAGATAGGCATAAGAAATAATGAAGAATGTATAAATTACACACATAATTACATAATATTATAAAATAACCGGTATTTACAACAAAATACTTTCAAAGATGTAATTTATATCTTTTTTTATCGATATTTTTCCGTTTTTCTATTCCTATGATTTAATTGATTAAAATGTTCTCGAATAAAATATTTTTTATTATGAAGACAAGCCATTTAATAAATCATAGTAATTGAATATTGTTTTTAGCTTACATATAACTTGGCTTTCTGTTAGATGTTGACTTGTGATATTAAATTATATCAAAGAGCAAAAATTCACATCAAGATTCAGGTCGGCGACAACTTGATACATTACACACTACCAATGTGAATGGTTAAACTAAATTTCTGTTAAAGTCAGGTGTATACAAGCGGAATAAACTACGCAGAAAAAATAAATGAATAACTATTATTTGTATCAATATGGAGAGATTGGCAGAGTGCTAGAGAGTGTACTGGAAGAGTCAAATATTTTGAGCAGAAGACAAGTTATACAAGATTTGGACGACTTATAACATCCACTGTTCTGCTGGCATATATTTAATATTAATTTCTTTGTAGTCAATTCTTTAAAAATCTTTATATCTCCTCAACATCCAATTTTTTTTAGAAAACTACTGCCATCATGCTCAGTAAAAGATCTGTTAAATTAAATAATTAACAAAAATGACTCGACGTTGTTATTTAAATAAAACTTTGTTCTTCTTACAAAATATAAACTACGTACACGTATATACTACTGCAAAATTATAGAGCACTTGGAACTGGAAACTTAGCTAGATGAGTCTTTGGCTGTGTACTCTAAGCATTACGAACTTATACCTTATGTAGAGTTGCTACTTATGAGGATATTGCTTCAATTCATTTTAATTTATTAAGTAAATATATTTAATTATTTAATTATTTTAAATCGTCTATACATTAAAAAAGTTAATTAAAAAAAAACTTTATTCAATTCTATTTATACCTACTATTATTACAATGTTAAATCATTGCATT